TCTTGTATTTAAAGTGCCTACGTGTGGCGCTCCCTCCACAAACATAACGTAGAGCTGGACAGAGCCACACAGTCCAGCTCGAGTGCGCACACACTCACACGCAACCTTAAATGACTCCTGCAGCTGTCATCACGCCGTGGTGTCAGTCACCCACAGCACGACACAGATATGCACAGTATATGTATGTCGGCACTGAGAGAGAGAAGCCTTGGTTGTGTGCACTGTGCCACCCTGTGTACGCTCCTGACTAACACAGTGGGTTTTGGGAGACACAGCCCTGCACAGATTCACTGGTTCCTAAGGTAACCATGGTGATCTCCAGGGAACCTGTGGAGTCTGGTGATGAGAAAAGATAAAAAATACTGGTTTGTGTGTTTGGGAATGTGTCTGGTGATGGTGAGGTAGCTCTACATCAGGCCTTCAAACTAAACTCCTTCTACACAAACACAGTTCAGCATGTTTGATTTTCAGACGAGTCTGTACCGACATGTGTCAGTGGCAGACAAGAAGACCAGTTCAGCAAATAAACAGGTGGAGTTCAAAACCAAACTGAACAGCAGCCCCACATCACGATGTTTCCATGTTGGCACACACCATAACCTACATGGTATTTCATCTTCTTCCTGGCTGTTCCCGTTAGGAGTCGCCACAGCGAATCATCTGTTTCCACCTAACTCTACAACTGTTTGTGTGGTGTTAGCTTGGGCACATTGTGTTTGTTTACACTGGTGACATTGATGACAACCGGATGTGACCAAATCATTTGTGACCTGGTTAACCAGGATGAAGTCACATTTTCAGATCTGGTTCGTTCACTGGTTTTTCCACGTGCTCTTCTCTGTCACAGATGCAGTGAGATGAGCTACTCTTCCTTAATCTGTGATCACGTGGCTCATCTTACCCAGCGGCTCAGCTCGTCCTCCCGCAGTCAGCCGAAAGTGACAGCGGACACGGGCTGGTTTCTGCATCAGGCCCGTGATCCAGAGCAGACCCCGCCAGTCCATCATGGAGAAACACCAGCTGAAGCTGTAGGGGCGGCTCTCACATGCACATCACCGAACATCTGTGGGGAGATCTTTAACATACTGAGCGTTTTCATCCAAGGCCATTAGGGAACAGACTCCCTGATACTTTCAAACAGGTGTAGATTTCCATATTTCCCTCACAATGGCCCAAAAAAGAGGATTATTCTAATTAAACCTGTCCAGGTGAAAATGAGCCAGAAGTTAAATCTGGTACAAAACGTCTTTTCTCTTTGTCCGAGATTGTTTTATGTACAGTCCCTGAGAAATCCATGTAATAATGTTAAAACTATCTCAGAGCTTGAGATGTGCTAAGAGCTGAGCTGACCCCTGACCCATAAGGGGTTTGAAGCTGTGGTACCTTCCCTGACCCGTGCACGTGCCACTCACAGTTGATTTTTCATTTCTACTTTTGAAGTTGATGAACTAGAATGTAACAGGGTATTAACAGAGATGTTAAAGGCTCATGTTGTTGAAGGGGGTCTAGTTACTTCTTTTCCATTCACAACCGTTCGCTCAGGGGCACCCCAACATCTGCACACAGCTGCACATGAACTTACCGTCATTAACCTCACGTGCTGGTGTGTTTAATGCAGGTGCTGCTTTGGGCAGAGAGAAAACTCTGCAGCAGCAGCTGGACTCACTGTCTGAAATATCTGCTGCCTCTTTTACACCCCTGTGAGCAGCTTTTGTTAAAATTGAGAGAAAGTAAGTTGTGTAGAGTGTAAAACCTTCTGTCTTGATATTCCCTATTTCCACATATGGTGCCAGGCCCTTTAGTTTCCTCTGTAACCACTGACCCAGGATGACCCACTGGGAACAAGGACATGTGATGGGAAACCAGAGAACCCCCCACATGACCCTCAGTATTCTGGTCAGGGCCGACTCGCCTTGAGGACAGACCGGAAGAACAAGACAGAAACTGAAGGGGCAGAAGAAGAGACTCGTTCCGCTTGCGGGTGAGGGGCTTTAAAACAAACAAACAAAAAACACACAGCTCAGACATTTTGACACTTTTTTTAGGCAGCATAGACTTGAAGATGTTTCATCATATAGAAGAGATGAAATAAGCTCCGAGTACAGAGGCTACAAGAGAATGTATAGGTCAGTCATCACACTGCACTGAAAACCTTAAAATCAGTTTGATGTTAGAAAATCAGCATGAGCTTGTATGAGGCAGTGTTTTTAGAACACAATGGGAGACTTGGCCTCTTCTCGTTTCTATGTGGCAGGAGCACAGAAAGATGATGAGCTCGTTTCTAGTCAGCCTGGTCGCAGGCGGTGCACATTCATCCCCAGTGTAATACTGACCTCTAGTGGCCGACTCGGCACACTGCACAGCCACAGGGCTCAGATGCTTCGTGTTTCCCTGAGCTTCATTCTCACACCGTCAGACGATACACGGCTCCATTTGTGTTTGCATAGAGTTGAAAATCAACACTTTCATTTACTGAGAACTGTGACTGTAAAGTGGAAATTAAGTGACTAAAATTTAATTTTTTTAGTTGCTATTGTGCCTGGCAGAGTGCTCATGAGACGGTCAAAACAAACCACAGCTTGCACCTTTTAAATGACAACACAACCAAATTAAACTGCCTAAAAACAAACAAATAAAAAAAGTATACAAACAGTAGCTTCATCACATTGTAGAAGACTTTGACCCGGTGCCTCTCCTGTGGCTTTAACCATATAAACATCAGTTTTATGAGTCAAAGCCACATATGGTGTCAGCAAAAGGATTTATTTTATTATAAAACTAGAACCTATGACGTGACTCGTGACTCACAGCCTCATTAGCCATTTATAACCATCTAAACAGATTTACAGACAATTCAAGTCTGTAAAACAGTAGATTTTATGGCTCTGTCGCTGTGGTGGCATGAAATACTATAAATATTTTTATCAGCAAGACTTCAGGCTGTAAACTGGAGACACAGACATGATGCACAGACCACTTCACTTTCTGGACAAAAACAGAGTTCTGCTTTCAAAGAGGAAAACCATCAGTTTATTCCATCAGCACTCACGTTTTGGCACCTTTTCAGATGCTTGTCAGAAAAAAATAAATAAAAACGTTCAACAGAGCAGCAACACTCGACCAACACACACAAAACACCTGACATCGTAACAAAAGCAACAACAGATCTGCCAGTCGACGTTCACTCTGCTGCCGACAGGGCTCCTACACTCCGCCTGTTCCCAGATGCCCCTGTGTTGGAGACATGAAGGTTTCCCTCCGTGTTCTCACAGCAGGCAGCGGGATTCCTCTCCAACATCTCTGGTTCTCACCTCTGACTTTGGTGTAGCAGGTAAAAATATCTGTACAAGGACCGATATACAATGAGTCTGTGACAATGAGTCAATAAGTAGTCGATCGTGAAAGCAACTATTGGCTTTTTAAACGTGAAACTGCTGCTCTCCTGGTCTGATAGTACACTAATACTGGGGTTTTGCCTGCTGGCATCTGATGACAGGACTTAAAACGGTTTTCTCATGCTCTACAGGCCAAATGACAAAGTAATCAACAAAATAAGTGAGATCAATAACATACATTATTCATCATGTTACAACGTTCACTGTTCAAAACTCAAACTGATCAAATGAATCATTAACGTTCCAAACGTGAACCCTGTGGCTCCGTTAGTGTGTCTTCAGTTTTTCTCCCAACAGCGTCACCAACAGTCCGTACAGGATCCCCCCTGCAAGGATGAGCAGAGTGCTGCATCCGGGGCCGAACGACAGGAGGGCTCCCGACACGTAGAACAGCAGCAGCAGCAGCATGGTCCTGTAGCTGGCCAGCACGCGCAGGCTCAGCCTCGGCCGGCAGTTCCTCTCTAACGCTCGCTGGAACACGGGGCTCTGCTTTAGTCTGGTGGTGGACTTGGGGTCCGTCAAGTAGTGACGGCCCAGGCGACCCAGGAAGTCTGGACGTGAGCAGAGCGCATTCATGTGCTCTCCGAACTGTAGGAGGACAAACACCTTTTAAAACCTGATGGGGGATGTTCCCTTGTGGCTGTTTAGGTCAAAGGTCAAAGTGTTTAATGTCATATGCACAGTTAGGAAACGTGTTTCCCTGTACAATGAAATTCTTACTTTGCCGTCCACATGAATGCCACAAAATACAAGTGAAATATAAAGTAGATGAGTAAGTAACAAATCTAAGGCACTTAGAACACAAGAACACAACGTAACGCAGAGAGAACATATGCTACGTGGGAGCTGTGGGGCGTAAATACTTTACACACAGCGCTTTCATTCTCTCATCCACATGTATCAACAGCTCCTGTTACCCACCGCCTCCTGTCTGAAAGTCCCTTTAGTCAGAAGCACGACCAGACCTGTTAGTCGTTTCTGTGGAGCCATTTTAAGTGAGCACCTCAGCCTTGAAGTCTACTCTCCTGCTATTTCTATAGGATGGTTAAATGGCATGGAGCCGATTGGCTTTGACCCTTAAACCTGCAGTAACTATATTTTGGCCACATAGGGGAAGAGGAAACATGTCATCTGTTGTCAACATTAAATTCTGATTACAGCAAAAACAAATATGTGATCAAGTGAACTTGTCAAACCAGTTGTTGGACCAGTTCAAGCACACACAGTCATCAGAGTGCACCCTGCTGGCACCACTTACCCTCTCATTAACCAGACAGGAGATCCTGTAGAAGAGCCTGACCAGCAGGGCGTTCTCATAGCTCCTAATGGGCTGAAGCTCCGGGTCTCCCTGATACTGGATGTCAAACCTGCGCAGTCCATTTATGATCTGTACACGGGGACACGAACACACAGTGTTTGCTGTTTGAGCCACATTCCCACCGCCTCATGTACGCTCCTTTACAACAGTGGGTTTCAAACACTTCGTGCCCAAAACACTCAAAGCCAAAATCTCAAGGCACACCTGTATTTATGTCCTGGACAACAGGCTCTACACCGTGTTACCAGCCTTGTCACTCTATAAACTGATTTTTATTTACTTAGGACAAAGAGAATGAGTTAGAGAGGAGGGTAGGTCTGTCATGAGAGGGAAGCATGAAGATGGCATCACTTCTTACAGACCAAAGTAAGAAGAGAGATGCACTGGGAATATAAACTCATTTGGATATAAACAGTAAACACACAACAGAGAAGAGCATGCAGAGTTGGAAGAAAAAGACTTTAGTCTAAAACTGTAAAGAAAAGAATGAAAACTGGTTGACACCGAGTTGAAAGAACATTTTAGATGTGACTTAAATTTGAACCAGCTTTAAAACATTTGCTATTGTAAATACTAATTACCTACTCACAAGCTAGTGACACACGTCTGTTCAGATTTTTCTTTTACACCTGTGGTACTGAAGGCAGCACATCTGTGTAGTATCTTCTTTTCTTTTGTCAAGCAGGGAGGATGAATGTCTCTGCTCCCGTGAGGTTTCATCTACTTTGCAATAAGCTCCACTAGCATGTAACGGCCCTCCATCGCCTTATGAGGCAACTTCAGTCCCACAAACAGTCTGGCTGCCTCTGGTGCAGACCTTGTGCTCTTAGGCCACATTTCTTTCAACATAGAAGGATGTTTGGTTTCCAGTTGCCTCTTCAGCTTGCTTGGCAACACATTAGCATCAGGTAACTTCCCCCAACAGACGACGTGCTCGGGCGGAGGGCTGCTGGCACACACGGTCAAGTAGAAACCATAAGTCAGGCAGCTTTCATGATACTGTCTACGGACAGTTCTTCTCTTTTTTGAGGTGGTTCCTTTAGGCTATAGGATTTGCCTCTGCTTTGGGAAGTGTACAAAGTATTGATATAGTAAATTATAAATTCATTCAAAACGTTGTAAACTAGAAAGTCACTTTAGGCTTTTCCTGTTTAGGGGTCGCCACCGTGAATCGTCACACCGACGACTCGCATGTTGACATTTGGCACGTGTTTTACGCCGGATGCCCTTCCTGACACAACCCTGATTTGAACCCATTAACCACTAGCCTACCAGGGACGGCACAACGTTGTATACTACTACTACTACTACACTAATTTATGGTTGTCACAAAATCCCATGGGACACCGTTTGGGAACCAATGCACTACAACACCAACCTGCTTCCGGCCCAGGTCAGTCAGGATGAGTCCGTTCTCTCCCTGGATGCAGTCTGGCAGCTGTTTGCAGCTGCCATCATCCTGGGAACAGTCCAGGTTTGATATAAGCTGAGTCATCTGCCCTTGGTTCAGCTACAACACAAAGAAACAAATGTAACCAGGTGAACGCCAACAAAGTTTCTGCATGAATGATTAACAGAAAGGTTCATCTCAACGTCCAACACTGTTGGCAGCAGCAACATGTGGTGGATCATAACTGAAAGGTTCATCTCAACGTCCAACACCGTTGGCAGCAGCAACATGTGGTGGATCAGAAGCTGTCATACACTGTTCATGACTTAGTCCTGGGTTACAAAGCTTTGTAATGTTCATGCAGCATCTAAGTGCAGGCCTTTATGTCCACGGTTGACTATGTGGAGCTCGTTAGGACCACAGCTCCCAGTGAGTCCAGCACCAACACCAGTCAGGCCTTACAGCATAAGAGGCAGTCAGAAGGCAGCTAGTCTGTTTTCACTGTTCGGTCTGAATTCTGACCTCACACTCTATAACCTGCTAGTCTGTTGCAGCAGAGTGAAAAACAGAAATACAATTTAATGCAATTCAAACTGAACAGCAGTAAACAGCCGCTACCTTATAAATGCTGAAGTTCTGTGGATACTTGTGTCTGCTCAGTCGTCTTGTTCTAAAATTCTTTAGTAATCTATTTTTTTTCATCAGTTTGCCCCAGAGCATTATGCAAACAATATTTTAATCTTTATAAAAGAGATGCATTAAAGTTATTTCCCTAAAAAATAACCATGCCTCTTCTAAACGTTTTTATTTAGGGGCACCACTGAGTTTAAAGTCAGGTGTGTGGAATAAACCTAAGTGAATCGATATTGAATTGAATCAAATCAAATTGGGACGCTGTGAATCAGAATCAAATCGATTCAGAAAGTCGGTGGTGACTCCCAGCCCTAGTGCTGAATACGACTCCACATGTGGCCGAGTCCTGCGACATACTGAAACCTTTACAAGTAACTTTATTTGATTTTCAGGACTAGTGACATTGGTGACAGTTACTTTTCATGATTTAGTAAAATCTACTGAAATAAGTTAAATATGCCAATAAACTAAATCTCTAAACTAGGATTCTGCTGGGGAAGCAAACAAGCAATCAAAGTAACGGGACCTTGAAGATCTGACACAGGTTCTCCAAAGCTCTGTCCAGGAACTCATGGGTCTTTTTCAGACATTCCCCGCTGTCCTCTGGCTCGGCCCCGGGGTAGGTCCCGTTGAGGTCAGAGGAGCCCAGTCCAAACCAGGTCAGGAACGAGGTGTTGGCCGCCGCCTCGCTGGAGTGATCGGATATCCTCTTGGCTGTGTGTCTGGCTTGTGCGATGATCTGGATCAACTTCATGACCTGAAAACACAACAGATATTTTCAGCACAGCTTCCCGCTGCAGGATTCCACTGTGATGACAACACGTGTGAGACGAAGGAAACTTACTGCTGCTCTGAGCTCCGTGCCAAACATCTGGCTGTACTGACAGTCCTGCCCTTCCAAAGCATAGACATGACTCTTCACCCTGAACACCATGTCGGTCATCACCCGCTGCCGTGACGACAGGTAGCTGCCTCCTTGGCTTGGCGTCAGGTAGCCGCGGGGCTGGCGGTGGTGGAGGACGTGCTCCGGCTCCAGGAACAGCTGCTCTCCTGGACAGAGGTGACCAGGTTCAGTTCATTGGTACAGAGCAGGTGGTTCCCATAGGTGGAAAAATAAAACAGCTGTTTATTTGGCTTTATTAGGTCAGTAACAGATTTTTTCATTATTAATCTGGAGCTCGTGTTCAATTAACCAGTAAATTAGTTAATAAAGTGAATAATGCCCCTTACATATTATTTCTTAGACCAACAGACACAAACTAAAAATATATTTAAACATCAAAGAACTAATTCACTGATCTACAAATAACTTCAGCTGTTAAAATATCATCTCAAACTAAAAATCAGAGCAGGAACACTTCAGTAGTAGAGCGAATACAGACGATAACCTGAGATTAAAAAATAAATAACATCCTGACTGCTGAGGTCTGTGACGCCGGTGGGAAAAGCTCAAGTCCATCTGTTGCTATCATACTGAATTCATTCCTAGTTTGATTTGGTTTATGTAGAAATGATTTATCTCAGGTAGCAACAACCTTTATATGATAAAGACAAGAGGGGATTATTTAGCATAATACGTCCCAGAGTCAAACATTCTAAGGACAGAGTTAAGGCCTGTGTCCTGCACACGTCTCACCTTTCTGGATCATCTCTGCCAGGTTTGGCTGAGCGAACACTTTGGCCACCCTGAAGACCATCAGAGCATTTTTGGCGTTAACCAGGTCGGTCCTCACGGCTCTGTTCAGAAACACCTGGAAGAGCTTTGTGTATATGAGCAGGTTCTCCTGCACAAACGACTCCCTGCAAAAGAGCAGCCTCATGTCAGAGCCACATTAAGTGCATGACACATGTTGTGCAGCCCTTAAGCTACAGTCATATTCACCAACTCAACACAAAAATGATATATTCATGTTTTCAGGAAATCAAGAGAAAAAAAACAAAAGACTTCAGTTTAACACATTATTAGCTGAATCTGGGCCAAAAGACAAAGCCACGAGACTCACCATTTGTCGGGTACTGTTCTGTCTGGGTCTGGCTGAGGGCCGGTCTTCTCCCCTGTGTATCTCCACGGCTGAATGTAGCTCAGCCACGTCTCCAACACCTGAACACAGACACGC